ACCTGCAGATGAACAGAGGACAGGTTAGAGTGATCTCTCTGAATAAGCAGTCTTGTTACACACGTTTAAATGTAAGGGGAAGAGGCAAGATACTTCAAGGCCTTTTACTTGCAGCTTTACTTCATTTCTAAACACTGATTAAAGACACTGCAGCCTTGCGGTTCTGTCTGCCAGAAAAACGCTCACCACAGAGCCCCAAATCAGTTTTGACTCACTTGGTTTCAGGTTCCACTACAAACCCAAGTCTTAGACCAGCTATGCCAAAGACTGCATGTCTTTCAGCTTATCGAGGCCAAGCGCAAAGGCAGCTTAGGCCAAGTTTCAACTGACCCCAGGTCAGTTTGCATTTCTAAATTAAAATCACGTGACACTTTAAAGGCTTTTCTTGCTGAGCTGGTTCAGAAAATGTTACCAAACCTGTAGGCACCACAGATGGCACTGAGTCACCGGCGCCGCACCCTAGCATGTTTGGTTAACAGTGAGAGGAGGCTGTTTTCAAGCACACGCTTCAGTGATATACTGTATGCAGCCTAAACTGCTTTATGCTGACCACAAGACCTTAAAAAGTCAGGGTGTCACTCCCTGTTTTCTGAGATGGGTAACGCATCCATTCTATTAATGCCCTTTACAACAGCCATCAACAGCATCCATCAGCAAAATATATGACTGCGTATCAGTAACAAATTAAGCAGCGTGACCAACATGCCGCATGCTGTCAGGTCTTCAGGTTTCTTTAACAAGTCTCTTGTCTACTGCTGCTAACAAGGTTTCCCCTCCCCTGCTCCCTGTTCATGCAACATCCTCCAGACAGTACAGGAATTTGCACCAGAAAGAAGAAAGAGGTGCAGAGCCCAGCAAAAAGGCTTTGCAGAAGGCTTCACTTCCTAGATTGTTAAATACTTCCCTTCTCTTCTGCTTAACCCCAGAATGGGTATTAAATCCAAGGCACAGTTTGGTTCCATAGGACTGAGATTAACTCCTTATGAAATGTACAGGATTCTGTAATAAATGTAAATGCTCTTCACTACATCCAAATGGGAACTCAGACAGGCAATCGCACGTGTCACAAAAATATTTTATTTCAGATGCCGGAAAAGAAGTGGATGCTGAATAAGGAAGGCTTTAGTCCATTTTTCCAGTCCTGTCTTAGCCAACCTAATCCTCTAATTGTTACATTTGCCTTCCCAGTACTGCAACACCTTCTTTGAAGTAGATTTTTAAAAAGGAAAAGAAAAAAGAAATAGAAAAAAGAAAAAGAAGATAGTAGAGCACTTCAGAGGAAAAGGGGCCATGTGGGGTGACCCTTCTCAGCCTGTGCTCTATCAGCCTTCAGAGTGTAGCTGAGAAAACTGTAAGGCTTTAAACACCTGTATATCCACGCAAGCAAACAACCCCCTCCCCCACTCCCCACAGAAAAATAAAAGTAAGGAGTAAACATTCAAACTCAGCCTATTTTTCAGTTGACAATGTATAAAAAGCACTATGGCAACACTGCGCCCTTTTTTTTTTTGTTTGGCAAAAAATGATACATGGAGAAACTGGGTCAAATTCAATCCTTATCTAAGACGACAAGCTCTACTGCAATCAATAGACCAGCTTCCACATACTGGAAAAAGTCTGAACGTGTCCTATTTTATGGCTAGTAATAGGCATCATTTAGAAAAAGTGTAAACTTCTGCATATTATGTGCATTAGCAATTTGTCTTGGAAAAGAAATAATTGCCTTTATCCTTACAAGTATACTGACTTTGTCCTCTCTCTCAAGTTGTACCCTCTCCCTCTTCCAGCTCCTCAAAAAGTCTTAACTAATTTACTATTAAGCTCTCACTGCCTGTGCAAGGCATAGCTTCGTAGGAATGATCCTTTTTGCTCTATTTAAAAATAGTACTGAAGGCTAGTGCTAGATGGTTCTCCACCAAAAGTTACGTCAAGTTTTATTAGAAAGGTCAAGTCTCTCCCTGCCTGACCTTGCACCATCTCAGCAGCCCACGGCACCTTCACCTTGTAGTTGATTGCTCAACTCAACAAAGGAAACAAAGAAGATCTCGTCTTTCAGTTATTTAGGCCTTGCCACTCCTCTCTGCCCATGCTGAATGTATTAGCAGCTGTCTCGGCCCACATACATTTGCTGTGTAAGAATAAGAGCTAAAGTGTCCCAAGATACATCTCCTCATTCGGGTCTCTGAAGCAAGTTCTACTTGGCAGCTATTTTGCAAGGGAGTAAGATCAAGGACACTGGGAGTCATACTCCTAGAAGTCCTGGGAACTTTGATTGCCCAGGCACGGTGGCCCCTCTCCAGCTCACGTGGCAAATGACAAGGAGACAGAAATCGGAAAAATCGGAGAGCCTTGATTCCCAGACTGCTACGTGCTCACAGGCCTGCAAGCTCCAACACCTCTGGGCAGCTGCAGGCTGCTCTAGAACCAGAACCGTGACTGCCCTTTTATCAAAGTTTGACACGTTGCACCTCCCTTTGGAGCATAAATTGGAGGTAAAACTCAAAATCTTGCAAGTCTCTGTAAAGCACAGAGAATATTACCTCTATTTTTCTTTGCTTTTGTTTCCAGTTAACTTTCTATAAACATACGTAGCAAATCCAACAAAATGTTATTCATTAGAGTAGTCTAGTGGGTGAATAAGGTTTGAAAACCAGTGAACCACTGAAAGTCTCATCCTGGTCTTTTCTTCCCCAAATCAAAATGTAAACTACATTCAAACAAACACAGGTCTACTGGGCTCATAAACCTCGTGTATATAGTAAGAGACATGATGGCGTGACTGTTTTAACAAGACTTATTTTCCCTGCCAATTTTTAAGTTTACCTTTGTCACAGTACTAAAGATCTTCCCTGTGATTTACTTCCCTGAACGCCGGACCATTAATCAGGCCATTTTCATTAACAGGTAGGATTTACTTCAGACCAGCTGAGTGCAACCATTTAGATGGCAGGTAACATTACTGAGTAATCTGAGATCTTCCCTTCGGCTCGAGGAGAAAGGCCCTTTGTGCTTCCTCTATATGCGAGTGCAAGGTCCTGATTCAGTCAGCCACGTGAGCATACGGGTAAATGCTGCCTAAAATAGTGCTGCTTTCTTGCCTTTCTGCCTTGCTGCTGAAGCAACTGTCTTGACCCCCTTTCCTCCTCTCCCCTGACCACTCATTCACTCTGTTTGTGACGGCAACCGTCTCCATACCACCACGATAAACTAGGGTAGAGAACGCCAAAAACTAACCCCTTCTCCTTTGCCCAGACAAAATTGGTGCGTGCACGGCAGGGGCGTACGACAGAGTTACCAGACTGATGGTTTCCCTGATCTCAACCCCACCTGGCCCTACAACTGCCAGTCGCACACAAGGGCAAAACCAGTGGGCTGCTCCCTGTCAAAAGCAGCATGGATTTAGGGATTAAACTGACTGCTAAAGTGTTAAAAATATAGGGCAATTCAAAGGAACCCAGTTCACTGAAGCCTGCCAGATTTTTAGATATTTTAAATGGCCTGTTTGTATTCTGCTCAATCTAACGCAAAATAAGCACTGTTATGAAGTTTGCAAGCTGTTTCCATCCTAATAGACCAAGGGAAATCTTCTGCATCTTTTACTTGGTGAGGAGAATACATACCAGTTGTTCTGAGTTTTATGAAAAACGTAAATCAAGTTTTCAATTTTCTAAGAAGCCCAAATTTCTCCTACTTTGTCACTGACATCCAAATAAACAAAAAAGCTCAAAGTCAAAATCCTCAAAACAACAACTCAGAAGAGTCATACTGCAAAGCAAATTAAAAAAAAAAAACTCTAGAGCTTCTGCTTTGAATGTCTTCTTTAATCAGCTTCTGAAAGATGCATTCAGCAGGGGAGGAGAGAATCTGTTGATTTATTTATTTATTCTCAGTTTTAGTTCAGAGTCAAATTCTTTTAGAGCTCTTCAATTAACTGAAGGTATTTCAGAACGAGACATCAAATACCAGAGGCCTCACTGAAATCCACGTGACCAGTTCTACATAACTGACAAACTTGGAGCTACTTTCTTTGAACCTAAAAGTTTCAAGAGAAACCCACTAAGGACACTAAGGGAACTAAGGTTCACTTCTTAATACAAGCTCATACGCAAGCTGGGTTCCCTGGAGATATTCAAGAGCCGTCTGGACACAATGCTCTCTGTGACCCTGTGAGCAGCACGGATGGACTAGATGATCTCCAGAGGTCCCCTCCAACCTCAACCATTCTGTGATATACTACTTTTGGCCTCTACTACAGTGACTATAATACAGAGAGCCTCTGATGCAAAAAAAAGTTTTAAAGGTTTTGATTTTATGCAAGCACAAATTCCTAAGTGGGAATATTTTCTACGCTGGAGTGTGCCTTCCTAACTGGTCACCAGAGGAGTTCAGAAGTGCAGGGGCCAAAGAAACTCAGGTCTGTGTCACAGAGTTAGAACCAAAAGCAGGATGCAATACTATTAGCAAAAATGTAGCACTATAATTAGAATACGATGAGCAGAGTTTATTTAGGAAAAGCGAGCACAGAAAAGCTTGGAAAGGATAGATGAAGTGAGATCTCTTTCATAGGCATCTAAACACATACGCGTATGCTGTTTGGTGTGAACAATGCTCATCAGAAGTCAGTTCTGCTGTGTGGGTACCTGCACTTTAACTGGCGGTCTCATTTATCACCCTGCTAAAGCAATTAGCAGTACAATATTTTTCAAATAGTCTTGCAGGCCATTTTGTTAGACATGTTACTATTCAAAGTAGTAGTATTTTACCTTTCTTTCTGGATGAGGCTGCTGGATCCCAATACGTACTTTTTTGACCCCCACATCTGTTGCCCTTTACTTACGCAAAAGCTCACTGATTTCAGTAGAACTCTTCATTCATAAAGTTACTTACATGTGAAAGTGCCTGCCGAATCAGGGCAGCGTGTGAACACAATTTCATTGCCTTTATTCTGCTATTCCCCCAGTATAAAAAGCTTATCGGTCTTCTACAACATTACCTCATACCTTTTCTGTTTTTTTTTCTTGTTTTTCCAATATGGCCATGTTTTCTTTCAGAATTTTCACAATCTCAGCCGGATTTTTGTGCGATTTACTAAACAAAGGCATGTTTTTTCTCCACCTGGATTTCTTCTGTCAGTATAGAAGAGGACTGCCTTAAACCAAATGAGAAACAAAAATAGCTTTTAAGGTTTATACAAAACTGCAACAAAAACACACAAAGACATTATGTACAAGAAATGGCTGTGCGGCAGGCACTACGTCCACTGCAACTACTCCTAAGCCACACAAAGTCTGGGATACAGTTACTGCCAGCTCATCCAGGACTCGCAAGCCACCATGAGCATGCAGAAAGCAGCTGCTCAGGAGCTGCATTTCCCTAAAGCCTCAGACCTACAGCTCATGTTCAGTGCTCCAGTGAGTCTGCACGCACTATGTCCAAGATTTTGAGGGCATTAAATATCCAGCAGGTTCCACTGCATTTCTGATTTTTTTTTTTTTTGGCCAAGCTTTCCCAGTTTTATGTAGATGCAGAGTAACTTCAGACACCAGCATACCAAATGTGTCCTTTGTTTAAAATACTGCAAGATAAGGTCCCAGCTTCTCAGTCACCACTCACTCAACTGCTTTTTTTATTTTCTTTTTTTCATTCTGAAGGTTCTTGAAATTAAGTAGTTTAAGCTACCCTCTACGTCTGACAGACTTCAAGAATCTTTCAGTACCTGTAGGTTCAGATCTCACTTCTGTAAAACTTTGCCTGATTTAAATAAGGAACAGAGGATCAGGCCCAAATATGGACACAAATGGTTTCATGGCATTTAAATGAAAGAGCATTTTAATGAAAATATTTTTGTTTGTTTAATTTAAAACCTTCTTCCTCTGCATGTTGGAAAGGCAAATACCACATCAGTGTATAAATACATGAACGAAACCAAGAGGCTTAGTTTCAGCAGGCTTCTGATCCTACAAAGCATTAAGTTGGGAACTCCCATGGGTTTTGCTGAGGGGCTGATACAAATATCTACAGAAGTAACTGGAAAAGACTAGAATATGCTCTGGTCCCAGTTTACTGCAGCATTCTGGCCTGCATTCCAGTTTGTAGGACATGAAGACAACAAAAAACACAAAACCCAAAATAATCTCAAACTTTCCTCTCTTTCCACAACAAAAGGCAGCAGTTAACCACCAACCTCCCCCGAAACATTTGCAAGATTACTTGTGAAAGCACACGTATACACAAACCACTCCAATTTCCTTAGTCTTTTTCATCTCTTACAATTATAAAAATCTTTATACCAGAGGTTTTAAAGGAGAGAATTAAATGAGCATTTTATATATATATATATATTTAAAAAGAATGAAGCAGAGCTCTGTAACATTTTCCCAGTGGTCCCAAAGAACACACTTCTCATGCTGCTGGTGCTATTATTGAAACATTTCAGAGTGCATCACGAACCATGATCCCATTTGTGTCATATACCCATGTGGTACTGATCCCAAAATATCATATAGAATAAAAACACACAGATCATATATACACTTCCTCTTACAAATAATAAATAGTAATCATATAAAGCTGAAAATTTAGCATCCAAACCATAGGAGTACTTAAAAAAAAAAGTCTAGACAGATTCTGCCCTAATATACTGTTAAAAACTTTTCAAAATATTTTTGCATATTATCTTTACAAGAACAGTTTCTATTACACAAAGGAAATATTTCAAAATGTCATATTTAAACTGAAAGTTCCTTAATGGTATCCAGAGTAAATGAATTTGTATATAGTTTCTCATTTGTTGCTAGATTAGTTTTACAAAAATATTTTCACATTCAACTTCAGAAAGTTCAAGTTTCCATTTTGAAGCTCTGCATGGTTCAGTTCAAACTAATTTTTATTTCTGCAGTTTTGGCTACGTAACCTTCAATATTTGGCTGAGCTCTAGACCAAGGGGGCAAAATGAGTGCTTAGCACTGCTCCCACGGAGCGCAAAACTGTGATTTTTGGCAGCACCACCTGACTAGCAACAGAGCAGAGTTGCACCTCTCGACTTGCCAGCATGCAAGACTGACGACCGGGTATATCTAATGACTAACTCATTTGGACATGTTCAGCTACATACAAGTCCTGGAAAAGAATGGGCCTCTCATCAGTTAACGTCATGCTTAAAGCCAAATCAAGCATCATACAATAAATTTGTTTGAAAGCTACTAGCAAGCACTCTACCACCCCGTACATTCTGCAATTAAAAGATTAATAGCGCGAAACACACTTAGAAAAGGATCTGGTTCTGCATGTTTTTATTATCTATGAAGACAAGGCATGAGGGTATGCAGATGCAAGAGAAAGATTCTGAGAGCAGAAGCCTAACTGGTATGTTGCACTTTAGAAAAAAAATAATTTTGTACCCAGGTGTGGTAGGTTAATTCAGATTGCTAAAGACAGCCTTTCAGCTCCCCCTTCTAGATGTCTCCAAATAAGAAAAAGTATAGGGAGAGATCACTTGATTTTTAAACTGAAGGAGTCACAAACTGGAAGTTCTGAGATTAAAAGTTCATCTTTCTAACTGGTACATTGACTGTGTAATACAAATACTTCCCTCCACCCAAAAAAAAGAAATAGTTTACATACCTATCTAGAATATAATGTCTGCATTTGAATGATCGCTAATGTTGCCATAGCTCCAGCGTGATTTTCTACTACAGTAGCTAGACTAGGACTTTTCCACTGTACAGTTCCTAGCTCACCTCTGACTCACCACAGCACTGCTCAGTGATAGCTGATCGTTGAACTTCACTTCAGACCCTACCAGTGTCCTCATTACACCAGCAAGATCACTGATAATATGGCAGGAAGGGACTCAGGAGATTGTTAGGTTCACCCCTCGGCTGAACTGGGCCAGTTCCCCACTTCATTTATCAGTCTTGCATACAAAGCAAAGCATCCACTGTAGGCAAGTGGAGGGAGATGGAGAGGAAAAGGGGAAATGATGGCCATTAATGGACGGAAAAGTGCATCTAAGATCTCTCTGGGATTTACCCCTTTTCAGGATACTGTATTTAACCCATCATCATCTGGCAGGAGTTTCCATTCATGCAGCACTTCAGAAAATACTTACTGGCAAGGTTACCATTAGACTCGAAGCCTGCTTTCCTTTTCCATCTATGAACCTCCTAGCGGGCACGTACTCTTCACAATTACACACAGAAGAAAACAGCGGTAAAATCACTTTGCTGAGATTTGCAAGTGGTACCCCTTAGTCCTATTGCTAGCTATTCCATAAGGCACATGGCAAAATAAGGACTCCTCTCCTCCAGCTTTGTTTCTCATGACTAGATTCTCTAGCATCTAAGAAATCATGAGCTTTGGCTAAAGCACTTCCCACGGCTGGGACATTTCTACCCTGTCCTCCTCCTCCTACCAGTGCTCTCCTGTCTAAGCTTTACTTGGAAGCTTTTCTCTTCAATAGAGGCACTCATCTTTTTTAAATTTCTTATTCCTTCATCATCTATTCTTATTCTATTTACTGGACTTCAGCATTTTCCAGACTTCTAGTCCTCTGTCAAGGTTGCTTGAAATTGGCCAGTAAGTTCAAAAGCTACCACTGGAAGAGAAGTGGAATGAGAGATCGACAGAATGACCGTTTCAGCTTCATTTTTCCCAGCGACCTATCTAAAAATAATTGAAATACGACAATGACTGAAAATGAAAAAAGGCAACACAGGTTTACCAAAGGCAGTTCATACCGCTGCAATCTCTTGTTAAGAAAGTATATTTTTAGACACAGGAAGCACAGTAGATCTCACGCATCTGAGGTAGAAATAACACTAAATTGAATAAAATGGAAAACAACTGAAGGAAAATTACAGTGTAAAGGGAGATTGATTTGCTGAGAAAGCCACTAGCAATTTTGAGAATGGACCTTAATTAGAGAGCCAGAAGAATTAAGAGCCTACTGACAAATTCTGATGACACAAAACTGGAAGGTATCAATACAGAAGAGGACTGAAATATCACTACCTGAGGAACTGGATAGTCTCAAGGACTGAAGTAATAAAAATGGAATCAAAATTAAAAGTATCAGGTAACGCACTCAGAGACAGAAAAGTATCTGCCTCAAGCTGAGGAATTATCACGAGAAATGACAAAGAAAGTCACCTGGTGACTACAGCAATATTTTAACAGACAGAAGAAAGACAAATGCAAACCTATGAATTAAGAAAGTAATTTCCACTGGAAATACAGAAGTATTCATGTTTTTGCACAAAGTATTGATGAAATTTCATCTGGACTACTGTACACAATCTCGAACACCCACAGTCAAATAAAATACACCAAAATTAGAATTGGTGCAGAAAAGGATCCTAGGATGGTGAGAAAAATGGAAAGACTATCATGTGAGTGGACACTAAAATTGCTCACCTCGGTCAGCTTAAGAACAAAAACAAAGGGAAACAGGATTGTACTGGGAACGAAAAAACAAGAAGTTATTTCAGCTCATAAAATAATAACCCATTATTTACGCCCAAACAAATAGCTATAAACGGCCAATGAATAAACTTAAGCTGAAAATTGAATGCTTCTAATCATTGGAGCTTTGAGAGTCTGAAATAACCTACTCTAACAGGCACAACACAGAGCATCTGTTCATAAATTTTTGACACAGTTGTCTGGCAGCAAGACATTAGGCTGAATGACCCCCCTTCCTACTTCCTAGGAAAACTTTCTCCATCTAATGGCTATTCAGTGACATACGTTTTTATATCATCAGAAATGCATTGCAGTCACTTCTGATTTCCTAGCATGGAACAGCCAACTTTTGTAACACTAGTTGTGATGATGGTAGTTCACCCATACTTTTATCAGTATCTCAGGAGACCAAGGAAAGAAAAGCTATATCTCACCAGACCAACTCTGACCGCCCCAGAGGCTGTCTGTCCTGTTCACGAGGGAAACGCTCGTGCAGCGGCTACCGATACAAACAGAACATTTCAGCCTTCAGTGCTGCAGAGGCCAAGACATTTCAAGAGCCGTGCCACCCCAAAAATACTTTCAGGGAATGTTATTCAGTGGAAAAAAAGGTTTTGCTTTTGTTTAAGTGACAAAGACAACACAAGACAATTTTAAAGCACCACTTTTTAAATGTTTAGCCATATGTGTGAAAATCAGAAAAAAGAAAAAAAAAAAACCATTTCACATAGACTAAGGCAGTTAGTTGAATCCAGAAGCATATAAGGTTTACAAGAAGTGAGTTCTAGGCTACTCAGTAGCCTGTCAGAGATAACATAACATCCCTTTATACTCTGAACATGGCTTCCCTCAGAGACCTCCAACTCTGCAAACATTTAATTAAGATGGAAAACACACTTCAAAAAAGCTGTACACATACTGTCACTCTCCCCTCTCTACAAGGGGAAACGTGAAGCACAGAAAGATTAGAAGACTTGTTCAAGGCCACATAAAAAATTAGTGGTTGCGCAAAGAATAAAACCTAAACCATTTGACGCTCCAGCCTCTGCTTTATCAGCCATCAAAACATCTCTTCTGCCAGTTGGTCTGCTCATAAAGGGAATACACTAAAAAGAAAGTTAAAAATTAGTGCAGCTAGAGCTCTTATACACAAAGGAAAAGTGCACTAAGAAATCTAGTTCTGTTTACAGGCACTCTCGCCAAGCTCTTCTTTGCTATTAATCATATACCTTCTTAACAGATTACAGTGAAGCTGAGCTTTTAAGAATAATGAAGGAAAAATACAGAGAGCAACATTACTCTAATCACCAGCCAATCCCACTATGAAGTGACTCATTTAAGCAGTTCAACAGCCAACACTTCCTCCTGCCCACAAGCACAAGAATGAGAGCATGTGATCCAGTTGACACATTCTTCTCAGATGTTCCTCCGGACAAGCAGTTTGCTATTCAAAAATGAATGAGTGGATAATTTCCCTCCCTTCTAATCAAGATAAGCAAGGATCAGGCATTTGTCTTTTCTTACCTCTTAGCCTTCGTCTACTGATTTATCAGCATCAAAACATTTTATTAATTCTTCCTGAATGAGAGGTTCTGTTTTGGAAAGAAAAGAGATGTCCATTTTCTGTTCACTGCAGTGTGCCTAAACCCCATAGCTTTTGGGTTTTAATTAGCACACTTTCTTCACAGTTTTTCTAGATTAGTCTCTACATAATGAAAGAGAAGCTTCATTCCCTCTTCATTACTCCCTCCCACAATGTTTGGTGAAGTTGTTGCAGTGAGAGAGTCAAGTAGTCAAACTGGGAAATGGAAGATACATGAACACCTGGGCAAGCCTAATCTGTCCACTCATGTGCAGTCTCCCTCCTGGGATCCATATTTCATTCAGCATGAAGGATGAATCAGGGCTATACAAGGATAACTTCCATGCAAAAGCCCCAACGAGTTGAAGACTTTGAAAGGTATGCCATAAATGAGACAAAAGATTAAGAGGAGAGAAAACAGTTTTATGGTTAGAGTGGATGAACACTGTCTCTGCTCTGCAACAAGATTACTCTAAAACCCAGAAATTCAACCAAAAATAAGCCTTGCGGTTGGCTACTTGTTGCACTCCTGATTTTGGAAGTACCTGGAATGAAGGCGGGTATGTGCCGAAACTCTACCTTGAACATATAAAACATTGCGGTAATGCTTACTACTCCCCCCGAACACACACCTTTTAAAACAGGTGGCATGCATCTTGGAGACCAGACACGGAAAACGGATGGGCGATTCTGCCCTTAGTCTGCCTACTGCTGTAGAATGGGAATAATAATATCTCTTAATTGTACAATACTATTATGAAAGTAAAGGCATTCATGGTGATGACCCACTCAAGTGCTGTGATGTTGCTCTATAGAAGCACTCAAAGAAATTAATCATTTTGTTTTTAATTGAGGGTTTGGATGCCGCATAATAAAGATAAAAAACCTACACAGTCTCTCAGCAAACATGGGGGATAAAATGAAACATTGGATAGCTATCCGGTCACCGAGGTCACTCTTTGATAAACACTTTGTTCCATGACAGAGCCATCCTACCCCTCGCCTAATCACGTCCCCACACCACAACCTCTGCTGCACTGGAAAAGCTTTTTTGCAGAGCCATGTGGTGAACCAGGTCAAGGAACTGATCTAGGATTAAAAAAAAAGCCTCATGGGGAAAAGGATGCAAATTGGTTTTCAATCCAGTTTATAGTCTTACACAGTGCTTCTGAAGCAGACACTACAGCTGAAGATGTTCCTCAAACTAAACCCCGGATGAGGCAGTGATCACGGGGAAGGAGGTGCAAGAGTGTGATTACATAATTCAAGGCTAAATCTTAATGGGTATATCCTCAGAAGGGTAGAGAGAACAAACTACATCGATACAGATAAACGCCAGAATCAAAATTAGGAACATTTTGAGCGTTTGACTTTGCGGTCTAGTATTCTTTCATTGTAACAAATTCTGTGTTACTACACCTATTACAAAATAGATACAATATTTCTGTGTTACAATGCTATGCAACATTCAGATTCTCAAACTGTGCAGAAACTTCATCCTGTGGCACCATATTCACACCTGCAAGGATCATCCTTGTACCACAGGATTACACAGACTCTGCCACTCGATGCTAACAAATAGCTAGAAGTAGCAGATTATGACTTCTGTCTTGAATGAAACTAGAAATATAAGAAACCAGCGGATCCTACAGTCACTAAATGCGGCCGGATTGGTGAGAGTCAAGAATATTTGGGATCCCTATTTCCGTTCATCAACATGGAGCTCTTTCAAACCTAAAAAATTACAAATTCAATTGCATGCCTAATTGCAGTCCGGAGCAAAACGCCCACAAGCGCAGCTCTGCAGAATGAGGCCTCCTAACCAATGTTTCTGAAGTACGTATGATTCTAAGATAACACCCTTTAACAGTTTTTCATTTATTTAAGTAAAAGGGAAACCAAGTTAAGTTTCCATGTCTAATTGTAACAATAACTGCAGAAATAATGGGAACTGGCTCTAGAGTTTAAATAACACAGGCAGCAGCCAAGAGAGAATAGGACTTCCTCTAAATCCATTAGTGAAGAACGTTAATGAGGTTTTTGCTTTTTGTTCCATGCTTTTTGTGCCAAGTTACCTCTCTAGCCAGCATTAACCTGCCTGTGCCTTTAGCAAGCCAGGCGCCGTAATAGCTTCTGAACACATTAAAATAATTTTGGCATATCACTAATTTCACTTTGCCACTCAGATCACTCCAAGAAAGTCTTTACTCAGAAAAACTTCCCTTGAGTTCAAAGAAAGTTTTGCCCGAATCCAGACTTCACGAGCAGCCCATTTCGTGGAACCGGCACGTCAGGCTGACAAGACCTATTAACTACAAATAGAGAGATGGTTAATTTACACATGCCGTTGCTTGCGATAATTCACACGCACGCTCCTCTTACGCTCGGCTCTAACAGCTCCCGCGTTGCCTACGCCAGTGGCTGTGCTCTCATTCCTCTGCAGCTCCGGAGCAAGTCCGCAGCTGCAGGCAGTCAGCGGAGAGCAGCAACACAAATGATATATTGCAGATATTTTATTTTTGGAAACCGCACTGTAAATAAAGCCCATTTCCAGAGATATTCCATGGACACAGAGCGTTTGGTCCCAGAGCCAGCGCCTTATGCAACAGAGGCAGCATTGTTTAGGATCGCCTCTTTTAACAAGCCACTCCTGGTAACGCCGTTTGCAAAGCTATAAAAAGCTAACGGCGGAACCAGAGGGAATAAACTAAGCGAGCAGTTTACGCCGCAAACGCGGTCGCCAGCTGGGAAACGCGCTTTCTATCGAACCGCGCAACTTGGTGCAATTCGGAGGTGATCTCAGCCGATACTCACCG